TCTGCACGGAGCTGGTCTCCACCAGGACCCCCACCCCCAGGGGTGTCCCCTCCCCTCCTCCTGACCCCTCACATTTGCTAGTCTGGCTGCAGAAGCCTCCAGCAGCTCAAGCACCAGACTTCCCGTGTGGCTCACAGTCAATAAGCTGGAGAATGGGGCGGGCAGGGCAGCGGAGATACTGTCCCACACCCTCAAAGTCAGGATGCACTGTTTCCATGCTGGCCAGGTCCTGGCAGCACCGAGGGAAATGAGGCATCTTCCTCTGATGTGCTCTTAGGCAACTCTGTGTTGGTCCGTATTCTATGATCATCAAAAGCTGTGCACAGGGCAGAGCCACAAGGGTTCAGGGGAGCAGCTGATTGGAAAACTGCCCTTGCACCATCCACAGATACCCACTCCAGGCCCCAGCCAGCGTCAAGGGGACTGCCGAGGAACTGTGGGGGACAGTGGGGCCAGGCTGGTATTACACGCACTGCTAGCCCCTTAAACTTTCCCAACCAGGGGATACCAATGCCCCCAAGTCCTGGCCACTCACCCAAGAACTAAGATGGCATAGACACTCCCAGCCCTGCCAAGTGGCTTCTCGTTAGAGCCACCAGGAAAGAGTACAGCACGCCTGGGTCCCCACCCTGCCGGGAGCTCTTCCGCAGTCGTCACTGTCTTGGTTTATCAGAAGCAGCAGGACCGGTTTAGACCAGGGGTGACAGTTGTGAATGGCAGATATGGCCAGGCCTCAGTGTGCTCACCTAGAAAGCAAAGGGGATCTCGTGTGGCCACTGTCCTCCCAGGGCCCTGGGTAGATCCGGTGTGAAGACAGAGTAAAGGACCTCGAAGAGTCAGACTCCAGGCCAACGCTAAACCGTGCGTGGTTTTTGATGTAAAACATGACTAGGCCTTAGAGGAGTGCCCGATGGCATGTGGCCTCCTCTGTTCTCGGCCTGTCTCCTCCACTTCCTGCCCGGTCCCCAGTCTGCTGCACCCCAGCTCTCACCAGGGCACTCTCCCCTGTTCTTCTGTGTCTTGTTACAGGCCCCAATACCTACGAAGATGCAGCCGCCTACATCCAAGCACAATTTGAAAGCAAAAACCGCTCACCCAACAAAGAAATTTATTGTCACATGACTTGTGCCACAGACACGAATAATATCCAGGTGGTATTCGACGCCGTCACCGACATCATCATTGCCAACAACCTCCGGGGCTGCGGCTTGTACTGACCTCTTGTCCTGTATAGCAACCTATTTGGTAATGATTCCAGCACTCACAGAAAAGCTTGTGCACACACAAACACACACACACACACACACACACACCACTAACACGTGCAAGTTGGTAAATAAATTTTAAAAAGGCATAACAAAACCTTATATATATATATGTATACAAATATATATTAAAAATTCTTTTTAGTTTATACTATACAGAGCTTCGGACAGAACTGCCCACCATCCCATAGGTCATCAAGGTTTTCCTGGGACCACACACGAGCACGCACACGCACACACACACACACACACACACACACACACACACACGCGCACACACACACCGTGATGGGAGTCCTGACTTAGGAGGCCATCCTTTTAAGAACAGCCACGTGATTTTACTCTGAGATCCATCCCCGTGCAGGGGGAGGGCAAAGAAAGGCCTGGCATTCCTCTGGCCTCTGTCTCTGCGTCCACCGCAGAGGCTGTGTGCTCTCAGTTCTGTCCAGCTCTTAAACGAAATTCCAAAATCCCTTAAAAACAATGGCCGAAACCCACCGCCCTGTCTGTCTCCCCAACAACAACAGAAAAATTAAGGACGCTTCTCTTTGGGGGGGTGGCGGTCGTTAACGTCAAGATTTTAGAAGAACGGTTGCTCCGAACAATCCAGTGTCTCCGGAGTTTGCTCTATTCAGGTTGATGAGGCTGGGCCTGCTTTCTAAGAGCAGCTGAGGGGAGGGGACATGCAAAGCAGGGCTCAAGTTCACCTGTGAAGTCTCAGAGAGCCCCACCCCCTCCAGGAGGGCACCTAGGGAGAAGGGGAGAGCTGGGGAGACGCTACAGGAGTGGGCAAGGGGAGGGCTGGATTTGCACACCTGACCCGGTCAAGGGCCGTGGACGAGGCCTCCCAGGGGCCTGGGCTGGGCTTCCCTTGGGATTCTGATCCTTCCTGCCATGCTGCCCCATCTTGCCCTCCCCCTCCCATGATGAAAAATATGCTAAGGTTGGTTGGTTGGTTGGTTGGTTGGTTGTTAAAATCAAAGAAACTGGTCAGACTGGACCCCTTATCTCTCTCTCTACAGACTGCTTCACGGACTCTTTGCTGTTGACGTTGATCTCCTGGTAGCATGACCTTTTGGCCTTTGTAAGACACACAGCCTTTCTGTATCAAGCCCCTGTCTAACCTACGACCCCAGAGTGACTGACGGCTGTGTATTTCTGTAGAATGCTGTAGAACCCGGTTTTAGTTGAGTCTTTACATTTAGAATTTGAAAGGAAAAAAAAGAACATTTCTCATGTGCTTTGTAGCTTTAAAAAAAAAAAAAAGAAAATGGAAAACTCACCATTACATCCATATTTCTTTCTCTTTTTTTTTGGAATAAAGAAACATATACATGTGCACCTGCGCCCTCCCCTCCCCCCACATCACGGCGGGGCCCCCAGCACCCCCGCAGAGGTGCCAGGCCTGTCTGCACCCAGCTCCCAGTTGTGTTCAGGCTGGCAGCACGTTCCAGAACTCCGAGGGGCGTTCCCGCACCCACAGCAACCACGCCCCTGCCCCGCCCAGCCACGCCCACCACACGCTCCCTCCAGGTTTATATAGAAAAAGCACAGCTCTCACTGGCCCGTAGCTGCCGAAAAGAATACCGATTACATATATAAATAGAGCCCTATAGAAAAACAGTTTTCCAGTCGACTCCCCCTTCTACAGAGTCCCTTTATAATTTTTTTAGTTTATTTTTATTTTTATTTTTGTCCCGATGAGCGCTACGTGCTACGTACCAGATCCGCTTTCATAGTCTTCGGGAGTTGGGGTTGTGGTTTTCTCCTTTTGACGTTTTTGCTTCTCAGTCTCTCAGATGGATGCTCCCTCTGTGTGTGTGTGCGGCCCCCTCCACCTTTTCCTTCGTTTCGGTGACCTGTGTTCGCTCTTTCTCATGTGGGGATGTTTGTGCTGCAGATAAAAAGAACAACAACAAAAAATTTTTTTAATACCACAAGATGGAAAAAAAAAAAACAAAAAAAAAATTAAAAAAAAAAAAGGAATGTAGTGTTTACATGAAAGCCAGTTCTCATGATCAAGTCCTATGTCATTTCTTCTTTGACTCTTACCGAACCCCAAACCTCTTCACAGTTTCACTTTTAAGACTTACTATTTGCTGAAGAAGACCGGTCACAGCCATTTCAGATAAAGAGGAGGCAAAAAGACAAAACACATTAAAAAAATTAAAAATACAGAAAAAAAAAAAACTTGAAAAAAAAAAAAGGAAAAAAGAAAAAAAAAGCCCACGGGTCTTTCTAAGCCTTTCTATTCCCGATCGGTGAGGTTTCTGTGATATCTTCCACACTGCCAGTCTACTTCTCTGACTAATGGAAAATTCATGTGTAGCTCAATAAAGAGGATGTTTGTCTGTATTCCTGCGTGTGTTGCCCTGGGGCTGCATTCCGACAGGAAAGGGGAGGAGGGAGCTGACTGGGCCGCGGACTGGACTTGGGAGGCTGGCGGGCAGGGCTGCAGGTGCCCTGGACCTTCTCCGTGTCCTCCTCGGTGCTGTCATGTAGGGGAGCCAGCTGAGACAGTTACCTGGGAGCGAGGAGGGCAGAGGAATGGGCTGCAGATGTCTCTTCCCACCCACTCCCAGGTTTTATTCGTTTTTGAGAGTAAAGTGGAATTGAGGATTGGAAAGGGAAAAAATGGGAGCAGGTAACCCCAAATCTGATAACATCTTCTACTGTTTCTTCTGTTCCCAGTGGTTCCATCACAGTGGGAGAATGGGTGGTCCCAAGAATGAGGCCAAATCACCTGTGGCCTCTGTACCCAAGGGGTCACATCCGTTCCCTTGGACTTGTCTAAAAGCCTCTGCTACTGCACCTGGATGCCAGGAAGCCCCTGCAGGCCACACACACAGGGGGCACTGAGGTCAGCACAGTTGGCAAACAGGATCCGATTCTTGCCACCTCCCATCCCCAATCCTGCCCCGCTGCAGGTCTCATTCCCAATCCCCTAGGGGGCCAGGTTTTTGCTGGAATAACTAACAAATCGGTTGAGACCGGGACCTGGAGGGAACGCAGCCCAACAAAGTCCTTGCATCACGTCCATGGACCGCTTATTAGCCAGGCAGTCAATAACCGCTTATTACCCAGGGGGATGGGAGGGCCTTGGAGGTCAGGTCATTGGAATCCTCTCCACACCCCAACAAATGGGAGTTATCAGCCCTTGGCAATTCCTGTGGTCTTTTGAATCTAGAGGGACTGGGGTTAGGACTTGACACAGTGCAGAGACCACGGAATAACAAGAAGCTAGTTCCTGCCTCTCATACAGAACCAAGTGCTCCGGGCTCTGCTCGGACCTCCTCAGCCAGGACATACATGCCCGCCAGCCAGCCAGGAGACATCTCTTTCCCGGTGCTTTTCCCACTAGCTCCCCTCCCCGCAACTTACCTGCAGAGGGAGGCCCATCACCACCCCTGCTGATGGGAAGGGTTGCACTCCTGGCCACAATCTGACATAACATCTGGGAGGCAGTTCGGCTCGCACACGCAAGGCTGAGGGACACCGTGGCTGCCAACACGCAGCACACCTGAAGTTTGCTCAAAATGAGCCATAGTCTAGCAGAGCGCTTTCCCAACTTTCAAATGAGTTTTTGTAGATAAAACTAACCTTCATCTTCCTTAAAATGAAAGCCAGGAAGCGTTATTTTGGGAAAGGATGCAGGGGCAACCGATTCAGTTAGAACGAGGCGTGTGGGGACAGAGTCCACGTGTCACAGTTTCTTAAAGCCCCACAAGTGACTCTGATGCAACACTTAGCAGAAAGCGGGGCGATGAGACGGGACGGTGGGCCCTCTGGGCAGGCGGGCAGGCGGGCAGGCTACTGCGTGACGGACGAGCCCATCGGCGAGGTTCCTTTCGCCTGCTGTGGCGCTTCAGCCGCTCTCAGCTCCCTTCCTCGTGGTGGCAAAAACCACACCCAGAGAGGAGCACGTTTGCCAGCTAAAGATAAAACAGCACGTTGTCTACACAGCTCAAGTGGGAAATCAGGCCCAAGTGGCCACCTAGGATTTGTATCGACACAAGTAAAACATCGTTCTCAGTGGCATATAAAAGACTCAAAATTGGGGGGGAAACAGAGAGAACCCAAGACGTCAATAACAGAAATGAGAAAATGGAGGGAGTAACCCCAACTTCTTCCAAGAGCCCAGAGAAGTGCAACTCAACCACCACTGGGCAGAGCGCCGGCCACTCCTGCTTCCCGTTCACGAGCCTGACGCGGCGGCCCGGCCTCAGCTCGGCTCCAGGGACTGACCCTGGAGACAGGGACCCACCCGATGCGATGGGACACTGGCCACCCTCCTGTCCCAGATGCCCCCAAGGAGTGACAAAAGCCAAGAGATGGAAGGGCCCAGAATCCTTAACTATCCACGTTCAAACTCTAACGGTGAATTCAGGACTTTTCTTCTTCTCGTTTTAAGGTATGCAGGGCACGTCTCCGCTTTGATCACTGTCGTGTTGCCATATTCTCGTGTCTCAAGACCTTCCTTCCAAAACTGACTTCAAATAATTTTCTCCTTTCACACAGCTGAAACGTAAGAACACGTGGGGCAGCGCCATCTGTAATGTGTGCAACATGCAAAGTATAAGGATGGAAAAAACCCTCCAACCAAAGTGGTTTATACAAAATCAAACCAGGATCGAATGGTGGCACTTCCAGAAAAAAATGCCTCAGCTTCCAGCCACACACGACACACAATGAGATTTTGCTTTTTATTATTACTGTTTTACAATAAAAACAAATAGCTATGCTCTCAGCAAAACGAAACACATTTAAAAAAAAAATCACAAATTTACTAACAGCATTTCAAGGTAAGGCTTTTGAAAGATTTATTGAAATAAATTATCTTGGCCTAAACATTTACTCGTCACTCTTTTTTCAATTACTTTCCAACATTCTAAAAACTTTCAGTTATGTAAAATACATTTAACTTTGCCAATAATTTTAGATAATACTGGATTCTCCCCAAAAGGACTACCAAAAAACTATGCTTTCCAACTTTAAAAAAAAATCCGATAGGACATAAAACTGAACTATGTAACCTATGACTGCGTGTTTCAAATCCTTAAAGTTAAATGTGTGAAGAATTTGAAAAGGGCCAGGACCTGGGTCAGCTCCAGGGCAGGTGGGCTCAACATCTCACCTTTCTACGTTTAGTTAAACCAACGGGAACAAAGTTACGAAAATGAAGGGCTCCATGGGAAGAACGATACAAAAGGTAACTTTCGTTTCTTCAATGAAGCCCTCCAAAATTTCCTCTCCCATCCTGTAAGGCCCACATTTTCTCCAAGGACTAAACCCGCAGCCTTTGGCATCGCCTAATTTACTTGACCGAGGAATTCAAACCATAAACCAAAGCTTGCTGCTCAACCCTTTCAGAGCTGACCTTCCCCGTGTCCGGGGGGCTATGAAATGCGGAAAGGACACACGGCGTACACTGGTGAGCTGCAGGAGCACCGGCATTAACGGAAATAAAGCCAGCTTTGACTAGGGCTCAGAAAGGAAGTCCTGGATGTACTGGGACACCATGGGTCACCTGCTCCCACTTCACAGCTCTGGGTGCTCCAGGTATCAAACCACGTGCTGTTTTCCCAAGCGGCCCTGCGGCCCGGCCCGTGCGCCCAGCCTTCTCGCTAACAGCAGTTTGACAAAAGCAGCTTTCCAGTGCCCGGAGCCAGGCTCCCGCTGCGCCGCTGCCGCTGCCCTCCCTGAAGCCCCCACCCCCACACGCTGCCGCCAGATTTGGAGCTAAGACACCAGCATTTCTTGTGACTTATGTATAAAGCAGCAACCAAAGCTGCTGGCTTCGGGGTCTCCGGCTGCCCACTTCCTCGTGATCTTCCCCCAGCCCTAAGACCAGAAGTGTTCATGCCTAGAGTTAAAATGTGCAGTGTTTCTAAAGGGAAAAGAAATGTCACATAGAAAGTATTACAAAAAAGGATTAAATTTGTCAGCTGTCCAAACACTATTAAGACCACATGCTTTATACAGCGGCAATGCAGTCAAGCCCACTTCTTCGAACAGCAGGCGGAACTGGGGACAGGCCTCTTCCGGTGGGCACACTGCTCAGGAGGTGGCTGCGGACGGCCAGGAAGCGCTAGGAGGTCTGCTGCTTCTGAAGTCTCCGCTCGGCAGCCGCAGCCAGCATCCTTCGACGCAGGGTCACGGGGTCAGAGGTCGTGCCTTCTGAGGGTAGGCAGCTCTCTGAGGCTGAGTCATCTTCAGAACTTCTGTTCAAGAAACGCCTTGAACAAAAAGAACAAAGGGTTTGCGTGAGAGATAAGGGAAGCTCTGGAATACATACATACAGAAGCATAAGGTATCCGTTTATTTTTAATGCCCCGCTTCATGGCACCTTCATAAAGTTGTCACTCGGCGCCATCCCAGGAAAGACACTCACCCCTGAACAGAGGAGCAAACTCAGCTATTGAGCCCCTCCCTCTCTCATGGGTCCCTCCGCCCCCCCGCCACCCCCCACCCCACACACACACACACACGAGTCTCCACTCAGAAGCCCTGCCTGCCCGACATGATACTGGCCCTGTCTCCAGGAGTTTAAATAAAAAGCACCAGCCCACCCTCAGAAACACTCCAGGCTCCAACTGCAACCGACCAATGACAAGTGTGGCACACAGGTGTGCGGGCTGCAAGGCGAAGTGGCCAAGAAGGAGGGCCTGGGAGCTGGACACCAAGGCAGCGCTAACCTCTCTAGGCCTGTTTGGTCAGCGTTAAGTCTGTCAAACGGGCAGAATTACAGCGCTCTCTTAGAGGTGTCGAGAGAATTCGAACAATTAATATAAAGGGCTTAGAACTGTGGCATGAGTGTGCTGTCGAGCAGGCGTGGCTGAGGATGTCCACAGGAGACGGTGACAGCACCGGCCGTGGGAAGTTACCAGTTGGGCGTGGTTTAACCAGATCCTCTGGTTTTTCAAGAAAGGTATGAAATCTGAATTTTTAGGTGAGCTGAAGTGGTTTTTCAACATTGGCATCTGTTTAAAAGACATGACAAGGGCCTTCTGGGGCGCCCGCCGGCCGGGGTGGAAGCACCTACTTGCGGGCTTGCTGCAGGAGGTCGTCCTTCCGCTGGACGAGCATGCGCTGTCTCTCGTCGGCAGACTTGGAGAAGCGGCTGCCCCGCGCCTCGAAGTCTTCCCCCTCGCTGGGCTCTGCCTCCACCTCGCTCAAGTCCAGCGCCTCCTCCAGCTGAGGACTGATGTCCAGAGGCATATGCTCGGTCTGGACACCAAGGAAGCAAAGGGCCATGTGAGCACAGGCTGTCCTCCTAAGCTGATTCCCCGCCTGGCCACAGTGACCCACTCAGTGCTGTCCCAGACCCAAAGGGAGGCCTGCTGCCAGGAGCACACGTGCGAAGGCAGAAGCGGGTCCTGGTGGGGAAACGGGGCTGTGTACCGCTAAGAACAGAACCTAGACAGTCAGTGTTAGTAAATGATCATCAGCACTAGGAAAAACACAAGCACCGCGAGACTGCACTCTTGGAAAATAATACGGTTAGTTAACTGCTAGTTTGCATTCTGGCAATTTTCTACTTGCTCTAAAATTTAAACACGTCTTACCACACTTATTGCATAAATTTTATGCCCTCACCTGACTCTGAAAACGGGGTCAAGCAGGTTACAAGGCTAAATTCTAAGGATCTTCGTGTAACAGGATATGAAAACGGGATTCTTTTGGTTTTGGCTGAAGGCCAGGACAAGGCTCAATGCCCCCCATGCTTAGGCAGGTGTCTGACCACCGATGCTCACGCTACCACACACAGATCCAGGCCGGCCGACATCAGCACAGCCGCCCGCCTCTAGGCAACGACAAAGCTGAGGCAGAAAAGGCTGAGAGAGGCCTGTTTTTAAGAGTTCCTGATGTGTGGCACTTTTCTGTCAACCCCCGGGCCCCCCTGTGCCACCACCTCTCCCTGACTTCAGCAAAGTAAGGGGACTTCAAGAGAAGGGTGCATGAGCTCTTTCCGTGTGGCACTTTTCTGTCACCACCCGGGCCACCACCTCTCCTTGACTTCAGCAAAGCAAGGGGACTTCAAGAGAAGGGTGCATGAGCTCTTTCTCCTTCGGTCCTGAAGACAGTCCCCATGGGGTGGACTGCAGGCCCTGGGTGGGATTCAGGCCACACCACGGGCACAGCTTGGTGTGTCGACCTTAAATATTGAGGCTGGTATGGCACGCGGCCCTCTTCGACACTCTGTCCTACGTGCAACGAACGTTAGAGGCGGGACTGAAAACCCCTATGGGTACCACACTCCCCGAGCCCACACACTCCCTCGTGTGCAGACCTCACCTGAGCAGAAGCTTCTCCGTCGTCCTGCTCGCCGTTTGGCCTTTCCACAGGACTGTTCGGTGAAGGCCTGACGCTATCTGATCGCTGAAAGAGAAGCAGTACCAGTCAGTGGGAGCCGAACCAAACCTAAACACAGGGACAGGGAACTCCCAGCGGGCAGAGGGAGCTGGTCCCCACCACGGCCCGAGCTTCCAGAGCCCACAGCCCCAAAGGGCAATGCTACTAAGACTGAAGACTGGACAAAGGCGCCCGAGGCATAAGCCTGAGAAGACTCCGCTGGCTCCACACTTAGTTCCCCTTTCAGTGATGGCACGTGCGCAACGACAAAGTGACAACGGCAGATAACACCGGCGCTTTGCGGACAACCCGACACGATCACCTCGCGTGTCGTCTCCACATCCTGTGAAGTAGGTGCTGCTGTTCCTCAATTTTTTAGCCCGTCTGAGACCTTGGCCAAAGCTGCAGCCACTTGGGCCCTTGCAAGCCCTTATCCCTGTAGGTCTTGGTCCGCAGTGCTGGCTGGCCAGTGTCCACATTTCATTGCCTAAGGACTCGCTCTGGCTGCACGAGGTAACTCTGCCCCTAAAAGCAGCCCTCCACCAGCGATTTATGGGAACTATCAACAGACACCCCGCTGAGGGACAATGCATTCCACGCCGGATCGCGGAGGCCCACAGTGGGACCCAGCTCTAGTCACCCCAACTGTCACCTGCTGGATAACAAAGCCTTTACTGGCCGCCTTCCCTTCTCCATCTCACAGCCCCGTGGCTGCCAGTGTTTCCTGGAACGCTTCCCAAATCAACTACTGCCATGTGAATCCTTGTCTCAGGGTCTGCTGCCGAGGAAGTCCAGGGCCAACAGCAAGGTCAAACAGGTCAGGGCTGGCGAGCCATGGCTAATATCCCAGCCCACCTGACTCCAAAGTCCAGACTATTCCCTCTTCAAAGATCCTCAAGTTTTAGGGTTTTAATATATTCTGTGTTTTTATACGCTGAAGCTGAATAACTTCTTAGTAGGTGATTCCCTGGTCCTGCCAGAGAGTTTGTCTTTAAAATGTTAATACATCTAGTACCCATCACAGAGGTTACATATGATGGGCAGGGAAACCTGACCTTTTAAAAGAAGTCAAAAGTGCAAGCCTCACAAAGCTATTATACCTAATGGAGAACCACACCAACGTGTAAAGCCAGCCAGGGACATGTGACACTATCTCCTGGAGCTGGGGGTTGGCAAACTATAGCCCAGGAGCCAAATTCTCCCTCCATCCACTTTTACGACTCATGCTTTCCTGGAACACAGGTGTGTCATTTACACATTGTCCACAGCTGCTTTTGTGCTCTGACAGCAGAGGTAAGATGTCAAAACAGAGCCTGTTAGGCTTAGAAAGCTAAAGCATTGCTATTGGCCCTTTACAGAAAAAGGCTGCCAATCCTTGTCCAAAAGGAACCAACGCTATAACCTCCTGGACTGGCGGGGGGCTGGTTTGCAGTGTGTGTCGGGATAAAAAATGACCCAAGTACATCTGTTCTTATCTTAATCCAAGACTCTTTGGTGGGTCTGTTCTCAGTCATAATTTGGAATGCTGGAGAAATTACAAAACCCTTCACCAAATCATAAATAACATTTAGTTCTTAAAGTAACTAAAAAAGTCTAGAGGACTAATTTTTGTGAAGGCGTGATCCATTTGCCATGCTTAAAGCCGCAGCTTACCTGTGTGGGAAAAGGTACTTGAATCCGTCCTTCTAAAATGTTGTCCGTTGTTATTTCGACTGAGCGTGTCAGCTGGAGGTCCTGCAGCACGAGGTGGTAAGGAACCTGGGGAAACATTTCTTGAATCTGATGAGCCTACAGAAACACAAAAATAAAGGCCTCAGCAACGTTCACTCTCAACAGTCACTCAACGAGGTCGTGGTGTACAGCAGGCTCTGGGCACTGAACTTGGCATTCTGCCTTGAGAACACGGATGAGGGGCCACCTGTTTGCAGATCACTAGCAAACTACACTCTCTTTAATATTTTTCCAGGATGCCTAATAGATAACTTGAGACAACATCAATTTCAAATAATAATATTTCAAATAATAATAAAAAGAGCACAGAAACCCAGCTGGATCCCAAAACAGGCTCAACTAGAATCTTCTAGTTTTTTAAAAGGACAAGCTTAGTATAACTCAGGTAAAAACGTGTTCTCTTTAAAGACATAATTTTGAAAAGAAACAAACTTCTGATATACATCACATGGATGAAGTTCAAATGCATTATGTTACATGAACGAAGCCCCACTCAAAAGGCAATGCGTGAAGAGTTCCATTTATATGACATTCTGGAACAGGCGAAATTACAGGAACAGAAAACGGGCCAGTGGCTGCCAGAGGCTGGGGCACGGGGACAGCCATCACGAAGGGCTCGACGCAACGCGAGGGGAGGGGAGATGGAACTGGTCTCTGTCTTGGTTCTGGCGGGGGTCACACAACTGCATGAATCTGACAAAACTCAGAGCTGGATACTAAAAAGGGTGAATATATGCAAATTATACCTCGATTTGAAAAAGACCATAAAGAATGTGAACTCCCAGCACTGCTCTGGGCTGTCGCTCCAAACTGGACGTCGGAGATGCCACGGAGCCCCCGGGGGCAGGCGCAGGTCCCAGCACACGTGAGCACCGCGCTTTCATCAGAGAGGCTCCGAGTGTTTCCACATACATATATTTATTTCATAGAGCTTACGTACAAGGTTTTATTTGTGGATAAGTCCCAATGATCAAAAGAAAAAATAAAAAGGAGGAAAAACTGAATTGCTTTAGGGGCACAATAAAGTCTACTGTTGGGGTAGTGGCTCCCAAGGAATGTGTCACTGTCACGGGACAGCGAGGAGGATGAGCCTCACTGTCAGGGCCCCGAGTGAAAAGACCAGGCTGGAACCCGCAGGAAGCTCTGCTCAGTCACCGCTGGGGTGGGGGAGGCCGGACGGGCGGCACGCGGCAGAAGGACCTGGGGTCCCCTGGGTGCCGGGGTCCCCTTATTGTTTATATCGATGTGAGCCGACCATTTCTTCCCAGGTCCATGAGAACCTCGACAATCGGTCTCTATTCTTAAACAGCTTCCCCTCACTTCCCAAATGAAAAAACGCCCGAGATTCATTTCACTAGACCAAAGCTTTTCTTTCAGAAAATCCAGCAAGTTAAATATTGGATCTTTATTAAAAAAAGGTATGGTTCTAGAGAATTCGCTGTGCTAAAAACAGGCTGTTCCAATCCGTCGCAGAACTGGAGGAAGAGCATCAGGGCCTACCTGAGAATTCTAAACACACTGATTCCAAGAACATAATTCTTATTCCTACGAGGGTCACGTGCCCATGAATTCTGATTTTTTTAAGGAGGCAGGTGAGGAGAGTCGCCTGCAGAGCTTCAAAAGCTGCCTGACCCCAAGGTACCCCTGCGGAACCTGACAAGAGCCAGTCAGTCGCCACATTGGGCTACAGACCATCTATGCCATCATGATGTCACTCACTCTGCAGATGCCCTGGCTGAGGGCTTCACTGAGAAAGTGGGGGCCAGCAGGCAGGCGGGCCTTTTGTTCTTTATTGTGGTCAAAAACATAAAATTTACCATCTTAACCATTGTTTAGTGTACAAGAGTGTTAACTATTACACGTTACTGTTCAACAGCTCTCTAGAATTTTTTCATTTTGCAAAACTGAAACTCTATACCCATTAAACACTCACTCCCCATTCACCCCTACCCCTGGCAGCCACCAGTCTACTTTCTGTTGGTAAGAGTCTGACTAATCTCTATACCTCATGTAAGGGGAATCATGCAGTATATTTTTGTAACTCACTTATTTCATCTAGCATACCGTCTTCGAGGGGGTCCTGGAACCCCCTTATTGTAGTATGTGACAATACTTCTTTTTTTAATGGCTGAATATTCCATTGTATGTATATACTACATTTTTTAGCATTTTATTTTATTATTAGTTTCGAGTACACAGTATATTGGCTAGACATTTATATAGTTTATGAAATGATCCCCCTAGTTGCTCTTTCTCTCCTCTGGCTCTCCACCCAGCCATGACATTACTGCTGACTGCACGCCCTACGCCGTGCTCCCCACCCCATGATCGTCTATCGACTACTGATTTGCACTTCTTTAACCCTTCACCCCTTCTCCCAACCCACTCCTCTCTGGCTGTCACCAGATTGTCCTCTGTATTTGTGGGTCTGTTTTCTATTAGTTTGTTCCTTTTGTTTCATAGACTCTCCATATAAATGAAATCATATGGTATTTATCTTTCTCTGTCTGACTTATTTCGCTCATCCTAATAACCTCTAGGTCCATCCATGCCGTTGCAAATGACAGGATTTCATTTTTTACGGCCGAGTAATATTCCACTGCACGTATGAACCATAACTGCTTTATCCAATCATCTGCTGATGGACATCTAAGCTGCTTCCACCTCCTGGTTATAATGAGCCATGCCTTCTTTTTAAACCAAATCTCAAAAACATGCAGCTACCTCCGCCCCACCTCCTAATACAGGGGGAATGGCTCTCCGCTGCCCTGGCTCCCACTCCGCCCTCCACCTCAGTCTGCTCTTTCGGTGAATTCTGTTTGTTCTGTGCCACTGATCTCCCCACTCTAGTGATCACTCCTATTCACGCACCAAGCAAAAGACTCGTGAGTGCTCAGAAAGACTCGTGAGTGCTCAGAAGAGAAGGCAGGGTCTTGAAGAAGTTCACAGAACAGCAGCTGAACGTGAAAGCAACCCTGTCCATCAGCTCCACCCGCTCTTCAATCCACCACAATCTACTGTTCAACTCCTCAGGCCACAGAAACTGCCGCTTCTCCTCCAGCTCATCAGCCACCTTCCTCTGCCAAGTCCAACACGCGTTCCTCCGACCTCGCCTTCTGAGACTTTCTACACGCATGACTCGCTACCTTCTCCTGGTTCTTTCCTTTTCCATCACCATTATGGCTCCTGTCTCTCCGCCAGACCTCGACCCAAGCCCTCTTCTCTTTGAGAGCTACATTCTTGTCCTAGAAAATCCAGTCCCCTGCTTTGCATATCACCCAATGACTTAAAACTCCCCAAAGTGCAGCTCCAGACTGACCTCTTCGCCGAGGTCCAGCACCACCTGCCTGACGCCTCTATTGATGTCTGCCAACTTCCCAGCCAAACGCGGTGCCGAGTCTGTGTCTCCAGGCCCGTTTCTCCCGCCGCTTGCCTCTCTCAGTACATGGCACTCGCACCCACGGCGGCTCCACTAAAGGCCAACACGTCAGCTCTGGCTCCTGCACTTCGCTCGGCCCCCGCGGCCCCACATCCGAATCAGAACACCGGCAAGTCCCGTCGGTCCATCTCCCAAGACACCTGAAGCCTGCCACCGCTTTCCATCTTCACTACACACGCCCCGGTCCAAGCCACATTTCCTTTGGCCTGAACTACTGCGACGGCCTCCTAACTGGTCTCGCTGCCTCCATTTTTGCCCCTCGATAATTTGTTCTCCTCTCAAAAGCAAACTCATTCCTGTCAGTCCCTGGGGCGGGGGACCCCTGATTGGCCTCCTAACACTTTCATGATAAAATCTAAACCGTACTATGGCCTACATATCCCCGCACGACCTGGCTCTACAATCTCAATTCATGTCACAATCTTGGTCCCCGACTTGCTGGGCTCCAGCCGCCATGATCTGTTTCCAGAATTTTCTCACTTCATGGCCTTTGTACCTGTTTCCACTGCTTCCTTCCCGCAATGTGCCTCCTCCTCTTCCTTCGTGTCTCAGTTTAAGTATCCCCTCGGAGAGAACTTCCCTGAATATCTCCTCTAAGCCAGCCTTTGCTCACCCCCACATCACCCGCCTCACTGCCTTCAGAGCACTCATCGCCATCAGCAATGACCTCATCTGTTTGTGTTTATACTGTCTCCCCAACTAGAATTTACACATCTTGAGAACAGGGCACATGTCTACCTTGTTCACATGGCAGGTGCAGTGTAATTTGTAATCTGTAGAGGTGTCATGCAGGTGGTTCTGGACCTCGGTAAAGAGGTCAGTCTGGAGCTGCATAGCAGCTGTCACGGCAACAGGCCTCCAGTACAACTTTGCTGAATAAATGCACTAAGGTTAATGGACGAATGAACAAATGACCAATGACCTTTGGAAATCCTGGCCAGGATCACCCAGGTCAGCCAAAGGCCCCATTCAAGCAGGACTAAGTTTATTATCACAATGAACACTAAATTTCAACAATGGTGAAACGTGTTTCTCCAACACTATAAAATAAAAATGCACACCATAAGACGAAGCTTAAGAAAAATACTTCGAAGAATCTTGAAGTAATTTAATAATATCCTTAAACCGACAGCATGCCTCAATATCTCAAAATACACATATTTATTTATTTGGGGACAGGAGGGGTCAGGGGTCAAAAACACACAATCGGTAGCCTAACACAAGTTTGATAAAAAGGCACGTCATTCACTCCAGTCAACAATTTCCCCGATATATTTGGCTAAAATCAAGGAGAGTCAAGATTGGCCTAGATCACAACCAAGTGAACCTAGCAGTGCTCAGGAAAGGTTAGATTATCTGCCACACCAGTAAAACAAAAGCTGGTTTTCAAACCAGTTTCAAATTTAAAATACAGGACTTTAAATGATCCCAGTGAATAAATAAAATGCCCCCCAGGACCCTGCCGTTCTGCCAAAGTGGAGTAGGACCAACAGGGTCGTGCACACCGCACACACCTTTCCGGTTTGCCTTCCCCACTGGTTACTGACCCTCCTGAAGCAGTCAGCGAGCCTTACCATTGCATTAAGCTGGGAGTTGCTTGCCTGCGTGATGCCCAGAATGTTGGTGGTGTGCATCACTTCAACTGAAAAACTCGGCAGCCAACTTGCAATCCGGGACCCTAAAACAAACGAGAACCCAGCACAAGTTTTAGAGGCCTCTTTCCCCATGTCCTCTACGGTAGAGCTGGCCACTCAACGATGCCAGCTGGTATTCACTGAGGGCTTACTTTATGCCAGGCCTTTTGGACCAAGGGTTTCACGTGGATTAGCTCACTTAATCCACATTAAAAGCCTATATAGTTCCATTTAGTATTAATTCTCATTTTACTCCTCTCAGAGATTTGACTCTAGCCCCCTTGGTCTTTGGTCCCCAAGGCACTCAGAAGTTAGGTAACAGGCCCGAGATCACATAATTTCATTATGATGCCAGGACATGAAGGCAGATAGTGAGGTTCCGGAACATGAGCATTCGGCTTTCCTGCTTTCCAGTGGCCCTAGCCGCACACAGCTTCCGTTCTCTCTCTCGGCCCAGGGTGTAAGGAAGCTTTTCACGGCTCTAAAGCTGCTACAGCAGATGAGTTTTTGCCCCATTTTCACACTGCGCTTAAATACTACTCATCTGCAGATACTATTTTCATGAAGTATTTTCTCCTTAATAATACGATTTAAAGGCCTTGGTTGTTTGAATCAAAATCTGTCTCAAGGAGTTCTATGACACAGGCCTGTGGACTACGGGCAGCAGGACTCTGCTGCTTCTGCTATTTCCCTAGGAGAAAGGGATCCTGAGATGTATGCCGCCCGAGTATCGGCTGTAAAACAACGTAGTATCAAGCCGCACATTTCGGGGTCATTTTTTTTTCCTTCACAAAAAATGATGAGGCGTGAAATATAAAAACAAGTTAAACGGCTGTCTCGAAGGTCCTGCCCCATAAAATGTGCTTGTTAAAAAAATGATACACTTATTGCATGCACTTACTAGGGAGAAAGAAAGTTGACTTTTCTCTTTTGACCAAGTTTTTAGTAATAATTCATAAAATAATAGATTGTAGAGACAGGACCCATGTCCAAGATCTGCTAGTATACTTCAGAAGTCTCATCCGGTAGAGGTCTTAGTTAACAGCCACCAAAGCAGCCCCCTCTCAGCCCCTCCAGCAGCCCCAGCCCAGCCGGCTGAGCGGCCTGCATCATTATCTTCTGGGAGACCTGGCTCTGCCCCCGCTGGTCCTTTCTGTCAGGACTTTCGGCACCGTGCCACCACTCCCGCCACGCTCCACCCCTGGGAACTCAAACCGGAGATGGGAACAGCACTCCTCCTAACAGAATGCCAAGGATACCTGTTTTACAGCAAGAAACATGAGCTCCTAGACTTCAGTCGTGCTGGAACTGATGAAATTCAACAGCAGCACAACGTATATGAATTAAGGAAGATCAATCAGCTCCTGACACGGTGCCCATGGCCTTAGGATTTTTAAATGTGGTTTTTATTCCAACTGCTCTCACCAATGCTGGGAGGCAGGATATTCATATTTATGGGCATAAAAGCAGGGTTCCGACTCTGATTCTGCTTCTGACACTCACTGGAAAGGCTGTGCAATGACCCTTCATTATAAATGCTTAAGTACTACACCAATGCAATAAAAATGATTACCAACAGTTAACTATTAAACTGATCAAGTGTGCGCCTTTCAAGCATGGTTGATTCCATTTCACCACCTCCTTCCCCCTGCCCCTGGCTCCATCCATGTTCACACAGAATCTAGCAAAATGCCTGGTACAGAATCACCTCTCAGTGCTATCGATACCCACTCAACACTTTCAACTAAAACTGAAATATGACATTGAACTGGCCTGCGTGGGGCGAATTATATTTAAACAGCATGCCCTTAGGGTAGAGAGCCCCTTGGTACGGGTTTAGAGGCTGAAACCAACTAACCATCGAAGTGGAAGAAGTGATTGTGCTGGTTCAAGCGCGGTCTGCCTTCAGCTGCGGCCACAGGAACCAGATTCTCGTCCAAGTTCTCTCCTGGATGGTCTTCCCTGACGCGATTATTGTCAGCGATATTAAGAGACATTCTGCATGTTGGACAGGAGGTGTCTTGTTCCAGCCAGGAACGAAGACAGGAGCTACCAAAAAAAATTGACCACAGCATATTTTGTGAGAATCCACCAGAAGTACTCTGAATGTACCAAATGTGTTGTAATTTCGTTTTCTCTTTACCACTAGTGAGATTTAAATACTGGGAGACATTTGTTGACATTACCTCTTTGCCCTACTTCACTCTGATATAATTTCTAGTATGTTCTGAGCATTAGAATAATTTCCAGTATGTTTTGAGCATTAATTTGTTAACATACGCAGTCATCTACCACGCTCCTGGTCATGACCCTTCCTCACTATGATTTTGTCGTGTGGCTCACCATCTTCCTTTCCAACTCTGACTACCTGAAAATCCACGCGGCCGAATCATCCAAAAGTGCTGGCCTGTCATGGCTTTGAATCCTCTACTCCAATGGCCTGTCCTCTCAGTCTATTTTAGCTACCAACTAACACTGTCATAGCGCCAGCCTTCTCTTCAAAATTCTGACGAGCCCCACGCCCAGTCTGAGGCAGTGTCCCCTCTCCTCTGCTAGGATTAGTCTTGAGTCCAGTTACAGAAAGCATCCACATGCCCCAGACAGAACACCAGTCCCACGTGGCCCTGCCCGAATCTCCTACTTGTGAAAAAGATGTCCACAGGGCAGTTTCCTTGCAGCCTGCATGGAGTCCCAGCAGATGGCACAGTCGTCATTGTTGACAGCCAGCTCCTCTGGAGTTGCAACTGCAAACCTGTTAAAAACAAAACGCACCCGGCAGGAATCAGTTCCAAAACACACACTGAGCAGCACCTTATAGACTTCGCCTTTTTAACAGCAGTTACAGAAGAATTCAGTACAAAAGAACTCAGTAAAAAATTTCCAACCCTTAAAACAGTACTTCTGCTTTCTCTTCACAGCACATCGAAGAACAAGTAAGGAACTTAAACACAGAAACTAACTGTCTTAACAATGACTCCCTGTTAGTGACAATTTGCGGGAACATTTCTGGGCAAATCAGAGGAGTTGAGACCCCCAGAGAACCAAACGGTCCCCTTGGACACAAAAATGACATCCATTAATCTCATGCTTTTAGGCTTGATTTAGCCTCAGGTGGGCAAGTGAGTGCCTCCTTCAATGAGGTTGAATGTGTGTGTGTGTGTGTGTGTGTGTGTGTGTGTGTGTGTGTGTGTGTGTGTGTGTGTGTGTGTGTGTGTGTGTGAAAACATGCATGCATAAGGAATAAGTGGAACCCACTTTCATAAAATAAAGAGGGCATATGTCCAAGGAAGCTTCCATTTAATAATAATGATGATTAAAATAATGGCGTGATGAGAAGCACCTAATATTTACTGAGCACATACTACACAGCCAGTACTAGGGCGTTTGAAGCACACTACATACATCCCTCCGCCGAATCCTCCCAACAGTCCCAGGAAGGAGGTTCTACTGCCCTCCTGAGAGATGACGCGACCGGACCATGAGGAGTTACATGAATTACCTGAACACACAGCAACCAAGTGGGAGTTCGTGCCCAGGCAAACTGGCTCCAGAACCTATACTCTTCATCATTCTGCTACCGGTTTACAAAAGCTAGTTCTTATACAGTCCAGACCCAACAGTATTAAACATCTAAACTGAGTACACCTGGGCTACGTCGACCTGTGCTCACTCACCTCGCTTCCATGTTCCCAACGACACGCAAGTAGTTCTTGTGCCGGCGGATTCGACGCTGGACCTCGTGAAACAGGTAGCGCAGCTGCATGAAGATGACCAAGCTGGCCATGGACAACCAGATGTTGCCAAATAACTTAACGAGAGGGAAATAAAATACACAGTAAAAATGCACGTGAACTCACTGGTGCTGACGGTGAAGTGGGAACAGAAGCTCTTAATTGCCGGTGAAGGGGAACTGGCATGATCTTCCAGAAGCAAATGCATATTTATCTCACTACCCTAAACAACGTCCATGCTCTCTGGCCTCATCACTCCCTCACCAGCGACCTTTCCTGAGGAACTAATTGGAAATCTGAAAGCTTCATGCAAAAAGATGTCCACCCACACAATTATATATTAAAAAAGAAAATGAACAAAATGCCCAGTAGGGAAATAGGTTGTAAACTCATGTACACAATACTGTATAGTCTTTAATTATATTTATTATAAAATATAATTACATATTAATATATTTTATGTATAACATTTTTGAAGATTAATTACACGGGAAAGAATACTTCCCGTGGAAAAAAGCAGGCTAAAAATACCTTAAGAAAAATGATATGTGATAAAAAATTATGTACAGATGTGATTTTGCAAACAACTGAATACAATCTAAACACCCCATTATGGGGGTTGGTTAATTACATCATCATATATGATGGAATTTTTATTTTGAGTGCATTAAAATGGTTTAGAAGAATTATTATTAGCATAAGAAAATTTCATAATTAGCTAAAAAAAAACCCTAAACTATATGTCCAAAATATGATCTCCATTTATGAATGTATGTATTTGAAAATACAAAGAAGCAGTGAATACAACAAAATGTTAACAGTGATCTCTAGGATTTTGGTGGAGGGACTTTTTTCCTTATTTTTTTAACAACAGCTATACATAGTTTTTGTAAGTATGTTTTCAAAGTTACTTTCAAAAGTAAACTTAGAAATGTGTTGTGTCTAACCCAGTACTTTCTAAATGCTACTTTAATAGGCTTATAATTTAAATAGACTGCCCATCAAATATGTTCTCAACATTATTAGATCATTGGAGTGCTAACCAATGAGAAGCTGTTCGACACTATCATTTTGTGCACACCGAAATAAAATGTAGACAATGAAGGAGGAGGAATTAAACATGAAGACTTTGTTTTTAATCGCAAAGATAGAAAATTTATGAATCCATGAAGTAGCCAACACTGCAAGATTCCCCATTACCACCTACAAAGTAACTAAGTGCTAAATATTAGAAGCCACAGAAGCTATGGGGAGAGGGAGGAATCCCCTCGACTTCACGCTGAAAGAATTATCTACTCCCTTGGCCGGCAGAGTTAACTAAGTCACCTAGGAGATTCAGCAAACTCCTCCTGAGCTGGGCACCAACCAAAGTGGTTCCAGGACACTGCTTTATGTCCAGTGGCAAAAGGGGGAGGGGCGCAGCGGCATTCATTTTTTTATGGTCTTGAAGTGGTTCATCCACAGATGTTTCATTTGTTAATGTACTGACCAGGGTTCCTGATTCTGAAAAACTTCACTCCTTCTGCGGAAACTTACCAACATGTGAATATGATGCATGAGGTCCAGGGATAAGAGAGTGAGCTCCATGACAAAGTCTGTGTAATAGACGTATGTTCCCTTTCCTTCCCATGTCCCTTCATGGTTGAGGTCCCAAAGATGTATTACATATCTGTAGTGGATAGAGAAAAATCATCTTAATAATTTAATGTTACAAGTGAATTTGGTTTAAACCTGATATAGGATAGTCACATTTTTATATATTTTATACATGTTATATCTTAAAATTAACTGTATGAGTAAACCTCAGTCACCTCCCTCCAAACGTCTACTCACCGTAAAATCACGTGAGCAGTCCTCACTGTCACAAGAAGAGACTGTAAAAAAAAAAAAGAGAGATTTTTTTCTTTGTAATAAAGCTTAGGATTCCTCAGGCCAAAGATACTTTTACAGAATGATAAAAGGCAAATATTTTTCAGTTCGATTAAAAAGCAGGTTGTTCACTGACCCTATACACAAAGTGTGGTTTAGGGGTGTGGGGTGTAGGGGAATTAGATGAAGGTGGCCCAAAGGTGCAAACTTCCAGCTGTAAGATATTAAGTCTTAGGAATGTCTTGTACAGCCTGGTGACTAGAGTTGACACTGCTAGATGGTATATATGAACACTGCTAAGAGAGTGGACCCTAAAGTTCTCATCATTTTATTCTTTTCCGTTACAATAAGAGATGATGGATGCTAATGAAACCTATCATGGTCATCACTTCACAGCATATGTCTATCAAGTCATTATGCTGCAGCTCACCTGAAACTTATACAGTGCCGTATGTCAATTACATCTCAATAAAACCAAAAGAGAAAGAAGGCAAGTCGTTCAAGTTAACCAACCATTTTATTTCAAATGCTTCAACTTTAAATAAACTGCCCATCAAATATGTTCTCAACTGTCCATGGAATATTTTCATGATCTAAAAACTCAACTTTTATTAAGTCCTTTTCTATTAATAGGTTACAATTATACCTGTCCATCTCCTAGGGAAGCCACCTACAATCTGGAGGGTCATTCTAGTAGTGTGACGATCACGTCTATTTTATCCAGCACTCAGTCACCATAACTGATTACCCAAGAGAGTTTTCTGCAATACTTGGTGACCCTATACACAAAGTGTGGTTTAGACACCATTATCCTAGATATGAGTCCTGCTCTCTGCGCATCGCTGTATGTGCCCTCTCTGCCCACACAGAAGAAAAGAGAATGAAGGAACTCAAAAACAAACTAAGGCCCTCATGGTATTTTACATTATGGAAATTGACAAATTTTAAAATTTTTATTTTATTAGTTTCAAGTATACAGTACATTGGTTAGATTTTTATACAGTTTGTAAATGACCCCCCTGATCCCTCTTTCTCTCTGGCCCTCCACCCAGCCATCACAGTGCTGCTGACTGCATTCCCTGTGCCGTGCTCCCCACCCCCTTGACCTTCTATCAACTACTAATCTGTACTTCTATAACCCTTCATCCACCCCTTTCTCCCAGCCCCCCAACCCCCTCCCCTCTGGCCGTCACCGGATTGTCCTCCATATTTGTGTTTTTGATTAGTCCCTTAGATTCCACATATAAGTGAAATCATTCGGTATTTATCTTTCTCTGACTTATTTTACTCAGCATAATAACCTCTAGGTCCATCCACATTGTTGCAAAGGGTAGAATTTCATTCTTTTAATGGCTGAGTAAAATGCCATAATACATATGAATCGTAACTTCTTTACCCAATCGTCTGTTGATGGGCATTTAAGATGCTTCCATATCTTTGCTACTGTAAATTGCACTGCCATGAACACAGGGGTACATAGATCTTTACGAATTGTTTTGGTTTTCTTTGTATAAATACCCAGAAGTACAACTGCTGGGTCAAAAGGTAGATCCATTTTTAATTTTTTGAGAAACCTCTAGATTGTTTTCCATAGTGGCTGTACCAATTTGCATTCCCACTGGTAGTGTATGAGAGTTGCCTTTTTATAGAAACTGATATTAAAAACATTTTCCTCTTAGTCTCCCAGAATAGAACTGTTAAAATTACTTATATTTGAGATTAGGAAACTCCCAGTTATAAATAGAAAATATTTTATCATACGTAGAAAAGAAACACTATGAGTATAAAAATGTAATTTAGCTCAAAACATCAAATCTATAACTTGATAAATAATCAAGAATAAATAGCAATGAACTAAAAAAAAGACATGTCCTACAGTATGACTCGATAGGTATACCTTGTTCAAAGGTTGGCCTAATATCAATTAAAAGTTAGAGAAGCAAAAAAGGAAAACAGTATCATTCAAATGGTGATTTATAATAAAATATATCTAAAACGAATAATTAACAGAAGTCAGTTTGAACAAAGTTTTAAATGGCTTTTTTTCAAGAAGATATAGAGTTGTATACTTTTCACATACAGAAAGTATTCAACTGGGACTGCAAATGTTTTTATTAAGTACTTAAATATTCCTTTTCTAATTTTACTTACACTATTATACTCTGAAATAAACGCTATTAAGCAAAATAAATTTTAACCCTATTGTAACAAATTGTTAATAGTTCAACTTAGTGTTTCTATTAGCTAACTAGCTTCGATATATCTACTATTTCTTTTTTTTTATTAATAATAGCAATTATGGGCAAGATTAAATTATTTTGTCTTTGGCCTGAGGCAAAAAAAGCAAATATAGTCACCGAAAATAAGGACACAAAGAAAATTTGACTTCTAATGAATAAAAACTGGTATTTTCAGAAAGGTTTACAAGTAAATTTCAAAATATACATGAGCATCAAATTATTCTTTCAAAATAATATGGTTTACGTATTATTCTAGAAAATCTTAATTCATGTCATATCTAAAAAACCCATTACAGAGTACTTCTTATTAATCATCACCAATCACTGCTCATATTTTAAGAGGAATATACTTCCTACTTGGAAGTCACTGAACTTAGCTTGTCCCACTTGCCACTTTGGAACCGTAAGTCCCTTCACCCTCTATGCCTGCTTCCCAGTTCAGGAACAGGAATAGTAAAATGAGTCCATATATGTAAAAATGAGTCAATACAGGTAAGGTATTCCAAACAATTCCTAGCATACAGTAAGCACTATTTATTTAAATGATGACAAAAGAATCACTTTTACTTAGGCTATAGCAAGGATTATGTGAAATAACACACATAAAAGCATTCAGTACCAGTGCCCAACACAAAACAAAGGACATAATAAATGCTTGTTTAAAAAAAAAAAAAAAAAAAGACCAAATATCCATCCATCAGTCATTTCGTGGGTGGAAATCTATCAATAATCCTCTAGCTTCCTTGAAAATACTCGAGAATATAATCAGACCAAAAGCTTGTGTTTGCATCTTACCTCCGCAGCCATGAAAGCCAGCGTGTGCATCCCATGGGTGTAGCCGGTGACACAACAGACAACTGCTAATCCACAGCAGGAAAGCAGCATAGCAACCAACAGAGACAGAACTCGACCGTGGCTGCTCATCGGTGTGGTGGGAGAAAAAGAGAGCTGAAACACACACAACAGAAGGGAGTTCGTTCTTCCTCGTGGCAGCGTTCGACTGCGCTGAGAAGCCCAAGGCTAATCTTGACGGCTTTGCTGGGGGATCTGTGCTCAGGTGCGTGGCCAAATGCAAGGCGCAGAAAAGCATCCCATTACCAGATGGCCGAAATTGCCCAAGCAACCTAACTATGAGTATGATCTGCTATAGAGATCTCTATCATTTAATTTACCAACTATAATAATATACATTATATTTTCATCTCACATTCTCAAGGATCCTCCTACCAGTGGGGTTATAAGCCTCTAGAAGCAATTTTCCAAGAGTACATAATTCTCTCTCCTAACATCGACAGGACTCGGGACGCCATCACGTTCTGCTATTTCTTCCTGGATCTTGCTCTGGCCCTCCTCCCCAAAATGCACTTGGAGGGACATTCCTAGTTTGTTTAGGGCTAGATCAACTGAAGCGCAATCCAGGGGCAGATTCACTATGATGGTACGTTAACAGGTTGCAATGAGGGCAACAGCTTGGAAAAGGAGACTTGGAGCTGTAGCTCCTGAGCAGGAAGGTGTGGACAGCAAGCCAGCAGGGGAGGTCAGAAGCTCCCGCTCGTGACCCTGAATGGCGAAAGAGCTATAAGGCTCTGAAACTGAGATGAACTCACACAGAGCTGCACGGGCCACTCATCCGTGACGACTGGGTCAAGAAAGGAGCGAACAAGGCCCTGGAGTGGGTTTCACTGAAGGGCAGACTGAGCTTTATCCAGCATCCACGCGATTAGCTCGGGAGCACTCACAGGTGAGGGTTCACCTGCACGGCTCTGACATGAAGCCAAGAGGCAGAGCTTGTGCCCACACGGAAAAGGACTCACTCTCCAGGGCTGACGGGAACCAAGAGAGCAAATTCAGTTCTTGCCCAGGGTAGAAACAGTGCAAACCATTCAGAAAAAAGACCCAGTGTAAGAGGGGAAGAAATGGAAGGAAGCTAGAACAGAAAACATCAGGAAGAGCCCAGCTTTTATCAAGCATGTACACTGAGGTCTCCTTGTGTTGTGATTCAAACAGTCTGAGTAGGTGAATTGAGCCCACGTGGGCTGCAATCTAATACACTGTTGGGAGGGGGAGGAGACCTCCCTGGGAGACACTGGCCCTGCCTTCCTTGGCTGCTGCACAAAGTCCCTCAAGAAATAGGCAATGAGTGCCTGATCCAGGCCTCCCCTGGAGAGCTACCCCAAACATGCCTATTATGGCTCACTCGCACCGCATGATCCAAACCTGGCAAATGTGAGACAAAGCAAGCAAAGAGCTGGGCTAAAAACTCACATATTCAAATCGGTCCTTGCAGAGCTGAACCATCAGATGTAGAAATACAAGCCCAGCGAACCAGAGGCACCACATGACCACCTCTTCCACTGTCTGGACGTTCAGCACACCAAAAATGAAAATGAACTTGTAGAAAATGAAATTCCAAAACTTGTCTTTCAGGTGCTAAAAAGAAAAATGTTTATAAAGGTGAGTACCATCATACCAAACCCATTTAAGAGAAGTTAACATACCAAAAGCTGACTTCTATGGAGAAAATAATCTATACTCAGCTTTTTAACACTTGTCCATGAGAAAATAGAAGGCAAAGACAAAAATAAGCTCTCTGAAGAACAGAGGTAAGACACCTGGAAAGTAATTTATATACTCTGGATTGTAATCCTCAGTCAGTTATGGAATTCAAGCCATTGAAAGGGAGTGATATTAGTCTAGTACTTGATGTATTAAATAATACATATACTTCCAACACAAAATGAAAAAGAATGGTGAGGGCTAAAACTATCATTTTTAATATGGAGACTCTCTGGATTCTTAAAAAACAGAGATTAGACTTTTTTATAACTTTTAGATTAAAAAATAACATGCTCCTTTTCCAGCCCATAATCAATAATGTATGAAAAAGTATAAAGAACTGTAAAACAAAAATGATGTCTGAACATTCTTATGCATTTTTCTTGTCTTCTTCCTACATGCAAAACATCAATTTTTGTACACTGCTTCATTTCCCTTATCACATCGTAAGAACCTTACCGACATCAGTGAATATTCTCTGAATATACCAGTTTAGAGGTTACAGAAGGACACCGAGACTGTTTTGAATTTTTCACCGTTCAGAAAATGCTGCAACGAGTATCTTGCATGAGTTTCTATTTCTTTGGCATTATCTTTATCAATCAAGGTTACAAATGTTTTTACGGTTACATCTGATATCCGAAGGTGTACAGACATGCACTCCCACAAGCAGTGTGGATCTAGTTCACTGCGCTCTTCCCTGCACTGAGGACTTCCAAGTTTAAAAATCTTTACCATACTAAAAAAAGGGCAATGAGGGGCAGCCAGCCAACAGATGGGAAAATGTACCGTCGCGCCATCTGTAGGAGTGGTGAGACAGGGAGAGGATACGGATGAAAACATGACTTCTGAGTAGTATACTTTTACATAGTTTTACATAGAATTCAAAAAATTTTAACAGAAAAGCACAATTAAATAAAAACTGAAATAACTGAACCGCAATGTGTAACGAATTGGTACATGTCGAAGGGTAAGAGTTATTTTGAGAACTTACACACTGTCCTCTGTACACTCTTTGTACGGTGAATAAAACGAACCAGGCCCAGGAAGCCCTGGTAAATGCCTGTTTCCAAATCCGGGGCAAGGTAAGCACATGGTGAACCTAGCGCACTGCATGCCTGGCTTTGACTCTCTGCTCCACCATCCATTTGCTGTGTGACTCTGGGCAAGTCACTTAACATCCCCATGCTTTGGTTTCCCCAAATATAAAGTGGATCTTTTATTTTTATTTATTTTTAGTGACATAGGTTAACGAAATCCAGTAAGTTTCAGGTGTACGATTTAACAGTAAGGCATATATATATATTGCACTGTTTTCTCTTCCTATAGTTAGATTTCTTTCTGACACCTTTATTTGACCCCTTTTACCTCATCTACCGCCCCTCCTCCTCCCCCATCCCCTACCCACTGGTAACCACTAGTCAATTGTCCATGCCCATGAGTCTCTGTTTGTCCTGTTTGTTACTTTTAGGTTTATATCCCAGGTATAAGTGATATCATGTGGTTTTCAACTCTTTCTGTCTGCCTTATTTTGCTTAGCATGTTTATTTCAAGGTCCATCCATGTTGTTGCAAATGGCAATATTTCATCTCTTCTTATGCTGAATAATATTCCACTGCACATATGTACCACAGCTTCTTTATCCAATCATCTACCGTAGAACACTTCGGTTGCTTCCATGTCCTGGCCACCATGAATGATGCTGCTATGAACATTGGTGTGCAAATTTCTTTGCAGATATGGGTTTTCGAGTCTTTGGGGTAAATACCCAGTAGAGGAACTGCTGGATCATATGGTAGATCACTTCTTAGTTTTTTGAGGAACCTCCATACTGTTTTCCACAGTGGCTGTACCAATTTGCAGTTAAAGTGGGTCTTTTAACAACGACTTTTATCTCACTCAATTGGTGGGGCAACAAATAAGGTAACATATGTTCAGTGCTTAAACAAGTGTCACGGTAGGCATTAAGTGCTAAAAAAAATTCCTTGTTCTAAACCTCCACTTAACAGTTTACTATTTACCCAATTTTAGGTAGTCAACGTCTTTGCCTCTAGCGTTATTCTATTCTTGAACTGTAAGCACTCACAGAGCGAACTCATGTCAATTCTGTTGAGTCCTAACTCAAATGGTGCTTAATAAATGCTACTGGATGACATTAGTCAAAAAATGAGTCATCACAGAACAGCATGAAAACTGTGCCCTATACTGAAAAATCTGAAAGTAACAAAAGTACCCATTATGATTACCTGCAGGTATTATAAAAATCCCTGTGATGCTCCAAGATTGTTTTCTGTAAATTTCAAACTGATATTTAACATTAAAAAAAAAAAAAAAAAGCCATATCTAAGGCCCACTGGTGCCAGCTCAATCCATCGGCAATGAGATGGCTTCTCTGGCCTGACCAATTTCTGGCCCACAGGTCAAAAGTTTTTCTTGAAGAAGGAAAAAAAAGCATCAAAAAGAGCTTGTGTGTCCTACCAAAAAAGTTTATATTCTAGTGATCTCATCCGAGAGACCTCTGGAGTCAGTATTTTGGAGAAAGTGATGATACTAATGAAAAGTTTCTGGGCAAACACAGTCCTGCTCATAACAGCATCCAAGAGTTCAACTACACAGTAGCTCCATTTCAGTTCTAAACTAAGACTTCGGCTGACTTGAGAACAGGAGATTCAAGCTGAAAGGGTGAGGAGTGAAGCCGCTGTACTTTTAATGTAGTTGGTTCCTGTGTCTTATCACTGGGGTAGGACACAGTAAAATACAGTTTTGTTTGTATTTTGCTGTTTGAAAGGCCAGTTCTAAATTCTTATTTTTTAAAAAAACCATTCTATACTCTATCCACTAAAATCCTTGGGCAACTCCCAATCTGTGCAGTATGTGTATGGCATAATTCTTTTTCAAAAGCATGTCCTGCTCACATACACATTCTGAGAATAATGTTCAATCAGACTATCTCGGCTGAAATAAGAGCAAGTCCCCAACTTTCTACTTGTAGAATAAATCCTAATTTACTTTTCTAAAGGAAAAAATTAAAATCTCTCAGTAAATTCCTTTGGAAAAGAATCCATATTCTAAAGAATGATATGTATGATTACTCAAACTGAAACAAATCTACGCTTTTTAAAAAACTATATTCATAACAGTCATGGGGGAAACAGCTATTAAGAACAATATTGGGAGCAGTGAACACACAATGAAATATATATATATGCCTTACTGTTGAATTGTACACCTGAAACTTACTGGATTTCGTTAACCAATGTCACTGTAATAAAAATAAATTAATTTTTTAAAAAAGAAAAGGAACAATATTGGGACAACTTGGCTACACTGAATACGGAACTGTGGATTGCATAAAGTACTTTATCAATGCTGAATTTCCTGATTTTGATCATTATGCTATGGTTATGCAAGCCAATGTCCTTGCTCTTAGGAAATACTGAAGTACTTGGAGGTGAAGGGGTATGATGTTCACAACTTACTCCCAAATACTAGAAAAAAATAAGAAAGGCAAATGTTAAAGCAAATGAGACAAAGTGTTAACTGTGAATCTGCATAAAGTTCTTCACGGCATTTGTGAAACTTTTCTGGAAGCCTGAAATTATATCAACTACAAAATCTAAAAAAAAAATTGTGGTTGCAGGAACCCACCCTGCTGCCTGGACTCTGGACTTACCTGTCTCTCGCTCACTCGAAGAGGGCCAAACACAATACATTGGATTAGCTTAGCCACCAACATCAAAACACAGCAAGCAGTATTTACCAGAACCTGTACACAAACCAAGGAAAGAAAGTTTATTTCCTCCTGTTGAAAAACAAAAGCAGCTCTAAAAATTTTCTATTAGGAATCCAGCCATCACTTCTAATGACTGAGCCTTTCCAGTCCTGTATCGGTACAAGATGAGCACTATGTGAAGGGGCGCACGTTTATAAGGTGGTACGGGCAGGGACAAGGAGTGGGGAGAAGAGGCCCCTGTTAATTCACTGAGCCCTGTCCCAGTGTGTACCCTCTGGCAGGCCACATTCCCATCTGAACTGTGCGTAAACTTTGCACTGCGCATGAAACTGTTATGTACCTTATAAACGGTAGGTAACTCCTAGGTACATCATTTCCTACGTTAAAATTTTGATAGCCTTGAAGAACACTTTTCTGGAAAATGACGTTATGAACAGTAAAATCCAGCACCAAATATCCTGCCCTGCCCCCGTCAAACAAACAAGAGGTGGGAAGAGGAAGGTGGATGGTCACAAAAGTCACAAGAACATGAAGAATTGAGAACCGAAATATTCGTGTATTTTCAAATGTACTGCAATGGGACAAGCTGCCAACCAAAGGTACCCTATTCTTGGCGTTGGCCTTAAAGCAAAGGTTCTGGGACATTTGAGGGGACTGGAATTGAGAAACCAGGAAAAAGGAAGAAGAAAACTGGCAGGAGGGGCTGAGAACGGAAGGCAACCATGAGATACCGATGCAAAACCAAGGCCTTCTTCAACAGGAGGAAGGGCACTGTCTTGTTTTGCTTTACTAATGAAGAGATGGATAACCTTATACCTAAACACACCTAACGCTTACAAAATGAAAAGAGTGGGCTGGCCTGACTGTGAGGCTCAAATGATTTTTAAAACACTGCATGACCTAAGGACCTTGATAAAGACAGTAAAGATGACTTCTATTGAGAGCAAATGACAGTGAACACCAACTCAATGTAATGGCTGCTTCGGTCTTTGATTCATTGAGTTTACAGGAAGGTGGCCATAGTCCTCCTCTTCCCAAGTCAGTATCCCTTCTACTTTTAAAAGAAGTAAATAATATTTGGGGGAGCGGGGGGGTGGGGGTGGCGGGGAAGGACACAGGAGAGGAGGAACAGCAGCTCTAAGAGAGTATCTTAAGGGAGCAAGCTCCCTGAGACCTCTTCAGGCTCCCCTTAGTCTCTCATGCCATCTGATTCATTAGAAAAAGATGAAATTATGTTTAGTTCTGTTCTGCCTGTCTAATGGGGCAAAGAAGTGTGTGACATATTTTTAAAGAACTAAAACAAAAATAATTCTGCTGAAAAAAAAGAAAGTGTTCTGGTAATTAAATAACCAGGAAAATATCCCAATGTAGTTATTCAAAACATCTAATATCTCTAATTTATTACTCCGTGTGGAACAGCCCTGTTCAAAACGTTCCATCAAATGGCTCAGGATCCTAATTTTTAAGAAGATGAAATAGATGTTTAAAAGGCTCATCTCCATTGTGCTCTAAATCAGTCAACTGAGCACAACTGAACCTCAGTCCAGTTCATTAAGAAAAAAGTCCTAAGACCCCCCCCAAAAAACACTTCAACTCCTCAGGCTACATCCCCCAGCTGAACAGGATTTTCAAAATCACCCAAACATCCTCAGCCTAATTAAAACACACTTTTAAAAAAGAGTCTTCCTGTTTTTGCACATAGGCATATGAAATAAAGAAATTCAACACATTTAGCACCTACTAGTTGAAGGCATGTGGAGGTTAAGAGAAATGAGGGCGCTCTGGAGCCTGTATTCAAAGGCTTTTAGAATCCACAAGACAAAGAACGTGGTAAGCATCTAACAGACCATGCAAGCTGCTGTGAGAGCCAAGAAGGAAAATCAAACTTAGGGTCACTTAATCCTTTCTCTACCCAAAACAGCATCCTTGAACATCTTGGGTTGCAAAACAAAAAGTAAAGTATTACTTCCTATTTCCTAGTTAAATTTTATTCAAAATTCAAAAATAAGGTGTAAAAATTTTGTATCTTTGATTTACCAAAACAAAAAACAAACAAAAAACCCTCCTGATGCCATCAGACCTATATTAATCTACATTGTGTTCTACAAAGGTAAGTTTCAGAGATTCCAATAAGCCAAACAATAGCTTGCAGGATTTGCAAACTGGCAGAAAGATCAGTTTTTGTTTTGTCTCGCCTGGTCTTTAAAAAATGGAATCTGAACATCTTTGGGCAGGGAGCAAAAAAGGATCCATTTTGACAAAGGCCTCACCATCTATTCACTCAATAATGCTATCTGTCAGACCGTAAGTAAGTCTCTGAGATTGTGGCTCCTACTCAGCTGCTGAAACAGGAATTATGTAATGAGTGATAAGGAAAACTTACAGTGCACACACGGAGGGTCTCAGAAACCAAGGAAGGCCAAGATGAAAGTGTAAAACCAGAGGAAAGATGGAAAAAAAACAGTATAGAAGATCAACTGAAAGAGGAAAAAAAATCATCAAAAGATAAGAAGAAACGATAAACTGGCATGAGGCAAGACATCTAACTGAAAACACTGGGAAGAAAAGGAAATTTTCTTAAAAGTAATAGTTTTCATAGAAAAAAAACAACAGGCTTTATGTTTCTTTTGTAGAGGCGTTAACCTTGAAATGTGAACATGGGTTTTAAAAAAAAAAACCTCCTGGGGAAAAAAAAAATCACTAAACAATACTAGTAGTTATATAAAAATCATTGTGATTTCTTCTCAAAGGCTCATGTATATCCTACACTTAAAAAATATATCAGTACTACATTACAATCTTAATTTGGGAAAAGCATTCCTCCTATCACCTTAAATTGTTTACCTGCTAACTCAAATGCAAAAACAGATTTGAAATTCAATACGAGATGGGAGTGGAGTTCTCATCTCCCTTTTCCCGTACTGTACAGTTCAGCTACAGAAGTGGAAGAATGGAACTTCCCCCTTCACTGCCTTCTGCTAATCTCTTCATCAGACAGACCTGGAGACTTAATCCACAGGCCAGAGTTCACAAATCCCACTGCTTCCTGATGAAGCACAGTGGGATTAATTATAACAAATGAGTTTCGTATCATTCTATACATTTGGAGTGTTCATCTCAAGTCATTTACAGCCTACTCTCAACCTCAAACCCGAACTTGCAGGAGGAGACAAGACCCAAGGCAGTAAACCCAAGAGACAGACTCAAATTCAGGAGCAACTTTTCTGATCACTTAGGGGTTTATATAAGAGGCATTCAAGGCCAAAGAGGAAGCAAAGTTCTTAACCGTTGATCTGCGCAGCCTGAAATTAACTGTTCCAATAAGCGAAACCAGTATGTACGCCTTGTAAATGGGGTGCTTATCTCGCACTGGCAGACTGGAAACCTTGTTTTAAAATGGATCAGTAAAAGAAGAAATCTCGAGTTAAAATTTCGACCCGCCCCTTGACTCCGATGTTTTGCTGTCTTCCTTCAGACATCAAAGGAAACCGTTGTGAATCGGGTAAAAACCAATGGCAAAGGAAGTAAGGTTTGTATGTTTGACCCAGAGGACGATCACATACTAAATAGCAGAAAAAAAAAAAAAAAGGTGTAGGTGACAGTGTCCGAACAGTAATGTCCAAACACACCCAAATCCCCCAATTCTCCCGCACGCAATACCTGAATTCGGTCTCGGAAGCCTGACCCGCTCAATCCCCCCACGATTAAATAAAAGAGCCGGGGAACCCACCCTCCTGGGAACCTGCCCTTCGAGGTCTTCCAGGGTCTTTCCCCGAGGTCCCGCAGGAACCCCGACTCCGCTCCCGCGTTTTACTAGCCGCGCCCCCGCCGGGCTCCCTCCCCCTCCCAGGGTCCCCGTCGCGTCCCCGTCGCGTCC